AAGGTTTAGGTTTAGGGTTTAGGGCCTACTGAGAGGTTCATGGGTAGTTTTAAATAGGGTTATACGGCCCCCGAAGAGGGCTTACGCTACCCTACTTCTTACCCCAGGTATAGCTGCCCATGAACCTCCCAAGTAAGGCTTCCGCACCATGACAGGGCCTCACGTGAGTCTGGGAGGCGTAGCCCGGCTCCACAAAAGGTTTCAGAATGTAACCCAGAGAGCCCAAGGGGCCCCTTAAGTAAGGAATATACCCTAGGGCTCCTTTAAAAGGGGTCTAAAAGGGATCTATAGGGTTTTTAAATCATATAGGGCTCCATATTATGAATTAAGCTATATTCCTTAATTAAGGGGTATTGGGCTCTCTGGGAATGTCTCATTACCGGGACCCTCCTTGTACCCTCAAGTAAGGGTATATGGCTTCAAATAAACCCTCCTTGGTCCTTGTTCCCTTAAATACGGGTATTTGACCCCAAATACTGCGCATCTACGTAGGGTCTGATAGAATGTAGATGGAGGGTGCAGGTAGTGACCTACTTGAAGGCAGGACAAGCCAGCGTGGGCTTGAGTATGCTTAGAGCCCTCCTTTCGGCCCCCCAAGGCATCCCCACGTCTACTGCGGAGACATCCTGGCCCGACACGACATGCAGACACAGCAGAAGCCTGTCTTCGAGACTCGCCGCATCATCCATCACAAACTCCTGAGTGAGACGAAGACTTGAAGACCCTGCAAGGAGTTTGAAGCACCCTAAACCCTATACCCTAAGCTCCTAAAGCCCTAAACCCCCCAACCCTAAACGTTCAACCCTAAACCCAGAAGACTCGACCCAACCTTAGACCCCGACGCAAAGGTTTCTCCTGACGTAGAGTGGCAGAGCTCCAGAAAAAGCAGGGTTTCGGGGTCGCGGGAAAACAGGCTATAGTATAGTACAGCAAGTTATAATAATAATAATATTATAGTAAGTACAGTATAGCATAGTATAGCATAGTGTGTTATAGTATACTTGTTAAGTCAGAAGCTAAGGTCCATCAAGAGGTTGCCCAAGGCCAGTCCGCCCATGGACATGAAAATCCCCAGCAGCACCATGGACCAGCCTGGCGAGGCATGACCCCCCGGTTTTGAGTTTTGTGTTTTAAGGGTTTAGGGTTTTTTTTTAGGGTTTAGGGTTTAGAGTTTTGAGTTTAGGGTTTAGGGTTTCGTGTTCAGAGCTTAGGGCACAGGGCTTCCTTACCAGAAGCCCGACAGATCTGGGAAAGAGGCCCTCAACCCAGGAAGGCGTACCTGAGGGTCGAGACTCATGCCATCATGCCTGTTTGGGGGATTGCAGAAAGGTTCGAGGACGGTCTGTCAAGACGGAGAAACTACAGATGTGGGACGTTCCCGCGACCTGACACAGAGGCCCTGATGCCCGGAGTCGATAGTAAAATCGCCCTGACATCGAAGCTGCCACAATGTTTCCAGAAGCTCTGAAATTCCCAATAGTCTTTAAGTTTAGGGCTTTAGGGATTTAGGGCTTTAGGGATTTCGACGCTCACACTCGCACAACGCAGGCAAGGCTCAATTTGTAGTGCTTTAAGCTTTCGGGCTTTAAGGATATAGGGTTTGGGGCTTTAGGGATTTAGGGTTTTGGGTGTGTATAATGTAAATGTGCTGCTGGCGCTGACACCCTCGGCCCCTGGAGTAAGAGCTGGGCAGTTACCCAGACCCCCGGGAGGATCCAGGAAGTAGATCCCTTAATGGGGGTTCCGAAAAAGAATTTTTAGTAGCATAGGGCCCCAAATTGGGGATCTACTTTCCACATCCTCCCGGGATTCTGGGTAGTAAGCAAGTTCAACTTGGGCCGTAAGTGCCCCAAGTAGAACCTACCCGCCGACCAGAGGTCGCCTGACCTTCCAAACAGAGCGGAAATGCCTGTGGAACACGGGACAATCTTTACACAGTGGCCGTGGCCAGGATGACTCCTGCAGCCCAAACTCCACTCCCGAAGCCCTAACCCTAAAGCCCTAAAGCCTTGACTAACCCGAAACCCTCATGTAGGTGCCCAAATAATTACCAATACTGTTTTGGGGGTTCCTTAATATGGTTATAATATTATGGGCCCAGAAACCCTATTCTAATTATGGCCGCTATAGTACATCGCCAGCCCTTGCGTATCTAGACTTTTCGGAACATCAAACGGAGCCGGTGCCGCAGAGAGATGGGAGAAAGCACTGGCAGGCCATGACGAGTAAGCGAAGGCCGCGCACAAATCCTCGCTTTAGGCATTTGGGGTTTCGGGGGCTTGAGGGTTTACTTGGAGGTTCATGGGTAGTTATAGGTGGGATTGTAAGTAGCGTAACTATAGTTATAAGCCCTGTTTTGGGACTTATAAACCCACCTATAGCTACCGGTGAACCTCCAAGCAGACCTTCCGACCTCTCACTACTCGGAAGCTGGGTGTTTAGGGCTTAGGGGGCTCTGGGCTGCTCTTAACGAAGCCACGACGCGAAAAGAGAGCCAAGCAAAAACAGCCGTCCCTGAAGCCTAGGGGCACAGTGACGTCAGGATTTGGACGTTCTTCTGACACAGGGGCCGGCTGAACGATCAGACAATGATGCTGTTGTTCGAAACATCGCACTGCTGAGTGATATCTATCCCCAAGATTCCCAAGGACCCAATGAATAGGTACTTGGTTTAGGATAGTAGTTATGTAGGCTACTATTTGAAGAGTCTATCATAATCAGGTACTTGGACTCTAAGGGAAGACTTCATTGCCACTCGGTCCCTGTGGCAGAGGCCCTGAGTTCGCTTGGAATCTTCCTCACCAAGTCCCAATTGGACGCTTAAATCGGCTTTTCCCTCCTACCTAGCACGGAAGAAGCCCGCATTGCAAGGGTGCTTCGTCGTCCTTGCTAGGTAGTTTAAATCGGTTTACGGATTAGGGTTTAGGTGTGTATTATATAAACTCAGGCTGTGCAGGACAAGGCTTCTAGCACAACATCTTCGAAGTAAAGTGGCTTGCAGATCAGGGCTGTTCCTGGCCCGGACCGGGTCTTGGGCACCCTAAACCCCAAGTAGATTAAGCCTGAATTTCCTTTACCATAAACCATAAAACCTAAACCCTGAAGTAAACCCTAGACCCTGAGCCTGAATCCTAAGGCCAACGCACTTCAAACAGAAAGACCTGCAACAGAATCGTCGAAGAGCATATTGGGAATGCTACGACAAAACCTTCACCAAGGGAGCCTGCTATCCTGCACCATGAGTAGTGGATGCCTTTATATCATGACTGAGGCGATACCGGATATTTCTCCGTTCGTTTGAGGTGCGTTGGGCTTTCTGGGCATGGGGGTTTTCAACTCGTACAGGCACACTTATGTAGACTCGAGAAACCGTGTTGCAATGGCTCATGACACAGACTCCCTGAACCCTCAACTCTTACCCCTAACTTTAAGACACCGCCTGCGCACGACGGCAAGGCGCTGAAACTTCTAAGCATGCGCAGCGACCGGAGCGACTTGATGACCTTGTCGGCTCGGGGTTTTTTGGATAAACTTACCTTTGGTTAGTAGGGAATGGAGGAATGGGGTATAATTATAACTCTACTATTACTACCATTCTTCCATTCCCTACTAACCAAAGCTAAATTAAAAAAAAAAGTGAATGAAAGTCCATACCAGCTTGAAAAGGGCTGGGCTATAGGGAAGTTTCCGAAAGTAGGGGACCCTAATATAAGTACCCTGAATAGTCGGATCCTTATGACAAGGAGCCCGAATAAGGTACCCCCAAGTTTCGGAAACTCCCATATTATGCGTTTGGGCCCAAGGCAGTCTGGGTCTGGGTACCTGCAGCGCAACAAGGGGGGTAGAGCTTCAAGTTTACAGGAAATAAGAGGCTGGCACATGTTCATGAACACGCCCCATGCCCGAAGCCGGTTGAAGCCATCGATTGTACGAAGTTTCAGCCGAGCTCAGGCAACGCGTTCACTGCAATGAAACATGATGCCCTCAAATATCCGGAGAGCATATTTTGGGGTTGACAACGTCCTCAATCTTGTGGGCCGAGCTGCACGCACAAGCCGCATGAGCGATTGGTCCTGGTCTCCGCCGCCTGAGCTAATCCCGAAGTTGGTGAAATTGCCAACTATACCACTATGGGACATCTGGTACGTCCGGTTTCTAGTATTCCACCATGTGCAAAGATGTACCCGTTCCTTGCTTACGCGCCCAATGAGGCGCCAGTCATCTGCATTTTCCGAAACAACCCGAGCTTTGACCAACATTCTCTACGATTTTCTCGAGCATCAAAACCCCAAACTACAATGCCCCACAGCACTCAATGCTAAACTCTACAACTCGATCCCTAAACCGTAAACCCTAAACGGAACTGCAATCAAGGTGCTGTTGAGCATAGGGGCCGCAATGAGCCTCCAGCGAGGACGGGAGAAGTAAGCCCGACGAGGTGTAGCACGGGAGCCGCATTTACTGGAGTAGGGTTCGTTGGGTGTAGTATACTCAACAGGTGCAACGTTCTGATGTTTATGGCTCCTAACATCGGTGCTTCAGCTCTCTCAGGGTGGCGAACGGGGTGAGGCTGTCTAGCGATGCATGTCCCAAAATTATTCACGTCTGTCGTCTAGGGCTGCAGGACCCTGGGAGAATTAGCTTCAAGGCATGGATTGCCAGGGATGCTGATTATGACCGTAGTGTGGCGGCTGCCAATGGTGGCCTTAGACTTGCTGCCAAATTGAGTATCTCACTATGAACTGTCGCCCACTTAGCACGATTGAGAAGTGTGGGATCCAAGCCGAGGCCGACTGCAATTCTGAGGCTCGCTGGTAGCACCCTTTGCCTCTCACCATAAACCAAACCATCCGTCCGAAGCTAGCTTCAGCGAATTTCATAGAATCTTGAAAACATTTGGATCCGCCGTGCGAGCCCCAAAACCTGAACCTGAAATCCTCTCTCTCTCTCTCTCTATCTCTCTCTCTCTCTCTCTCTCTCTCTCTCTCCCTCCCTCTCTCTCAGTTACTCGGAGCGTCAGACCCCTCAACCACAAAACCCCCCTTCACGAGCTCCAGGACGAGTCGCAGGTTCGCGAGACCCGCTACCACGATAAAACCATCGAACCAGTTCGCCACGTCCCTCACGAAGCCTGATCTACTTTGAGATACTTTGAGGGGTTAAGGTCTAGCTTTTCTGATGCTGCAGGACCAAGCACAGCAGGTTGTTTACGGCCCGTTTCTCCTAAGCTTCGCAGCCTCGCAAAAATTCACAGACGGGTATACGCTCTCGCAACTCGGACTTCACAGACGGGTTTAGGGTTTAGGGTTTCAGGATTTGGTTGAGGGCCGAGGGTTTAGAGCTTCTGCTGCATCGTGAGTGTTGCGGCACTTGAGGCTGTGGTGGACGTGGCTGGGACCATCAGTACGGCGCTTCGTTCCTCACCTCCTTGATCCTGATTATGATCACTACGGATAGCATCTCGACTCTGCAACCAGGAATCTCGAGGTGCCCTCTGAGCACACTTTCTGATAAGTTGCACGGTGCACCGTTTATCCGACGAAGTTTAAGGACCGCAGGTCACGGATATCCCGCCACCCGTCAAGAGTGGATGGGCTTTGGGGTAGGCCAGGGAGTTCGTAGCAGCTGCACGCAAAAATGCCCAGTGTCGAAATCCTTAAACCCTAAGCCCTGCTTGGAGGTTCATGGGATAGGAGTTCTAAGTACAGCGACCCTACTTCTAACCCTACTTATAACTACCCATGAACCTCCAAGAAAGCCTTAAGTCCGAAACAGGAACTGTCAACCACTCCGAAGCTGAGATGCCCTGTCGATCCAGCACAACTCGGATGATAAGCTCCACGGCAAAGACCTCAGAAACATCTCACTTCGGTGCTGGGAACCAGAACAGCGATTAGTACCATAGTAATGTAGTGCTATAGCACTACAGTCAGATAGTTTCCAGCAATATTGGCATTATGATTATGACATTCGATCCGATAGTCCAAAAGAAGCTAAACAAACTCGATAGCGAGACACAGCGCAAGTCCTCGCAGTCAGGCCTCCGCCACTGAGACCCATGCATGCTATGTATACTAGAAAGCCCAGAATTTAGGGTCCTCGGGTTCAGGGTTTAGGGTTTGGATTCCCGCCTGCCATAGGGTTTCAGGTTTAGGGCTTAGGGAAGCCCCATCTGCAAAGCCTAGGCACGAAAACGAAGACGCTATCGATGGTTCGGAGGGCCGGGGCCCAGTCCTTTCGAGCAAAAACGAGCGAGACCAAATGCTCATCATGATGGTTGAAGGCTCAGGGTTTTATGGTGTAGGGTTCAGGTTCAGGCTGGGTTTGCGGGCTTGGTCTTGCGGTTCTACTAGTAGTATCAGGAAAAGTCAGGGCAGGAGTGCCCATGGTGGTAGTGGAGAAGCAGTCGTAGTCGTATCGTAGTCGAACCGTGGCATAGTCGTCTCGCCGTGAAGTCATTTACTGTGCTCGTCACGGTGGTCGAGTTGGTCGAGGTGTTCGTGTTCGCGGTCGTCACGGTGATCGTGCTGGTTGTGGTGGTGTAGTGGTGGTTGTGGTGGTTGGGGCGGTTGGGGCGGTCGCGGTTGTACCGATAGTCGCAATGGTTGCGGTGGTTGTTGTGGTCGCGGTGATCGTGCTGGTTGTTTGTGGTCGTGGTGGTCGTGGTAGTCGCGGCGGTGGTGGTCGGGGCGGTGGTGGTGGTTGTGGTGATCGGTTGTGGTGGTCGCGGTGGTTGTGGTTGTCGCGGTGGTCGTGGTGGCCCTGGTAGTCGTGGTGGTCGTGGTGATCGTGCTGGTTGTGGTGGTCAGAGGTCGTGGCGGTGGTGCCGCCCAATTCGTGGCGGTCGCTGTGGTCGAGATGGTTGCGGTGGCCGTGGTGCCAATGCGCCGGTGCTACGGGTAATTGTTTTTCGCCTCTCGCCTGGCTAGGACGTGCTACAGTTAATTGTCAAAACTGGCTCTGGCAGGGGCGCTGGCAGAAGTAACAATAGAACCACGATGACAATCACGGCAACCACGTAGCAAGTAGCAATAACAATGCCGATGATACAAGCGGTGGCAATGGCTCAGGTTTCATGGCTTCACCGCACTATGGCCAGCAAGCATTCGGGGTTCCTTTAGGCCCACTTCTGCACCAACATAATGTAGGCGCCTTAATGATTAGAATAGGGCTTGGGGGCCTTGGGGGTTCCTTATTCAAATTATAGTATAATATACGCCAAAATCCTATTCTAATTATTACGGCCCCTACAGTACCTCAGTTTCCCTTCCATACCACAACGGTCGACGAATCTGCAAGCAGGCGTTGGGCGGAGAGCCTCCGAAATGGCCAATCCGCGTGATGCTACAGCCCAACAACCCTTCCCCTGAGTTGTTTTGTGGGCGGCCAAGAAGATAATGGCTGAAATCACCGAGCTCCGGGGGGAATCAAATCCTAAACCCTAAACTACAATGGAGACGAGGTAGGCTGCTAAGGGTTACATTAGCCTGCATGAAGTGCAGCAAGGGTAGCTCTGTGCCCTCAGCCCTTAACCCTGAATGATAAATGCAACAACTCGTCCTGTTGGGCCCGCGGTTCAATGCAAAAACCTTTTTGCACCCATGCTGGGCAAATCGGACAGCTTTCCCCAAACTCTAGACGCCCCCCCCCCCCAAACAAGAAAAAAAAACTATACCCGAAACCCTGAAACTGAACCCTAAAGCCAGAGCCTCGAACCCTCCCTAAACCCTAAACCCTTACAGCACCCTTTATAGAGCCCTTTCAAGGAGCCCTTAAAGATCCCCTTTAAAGGAACCCCTATCTAATCCCCTTCAAGAAAACCCCTATAATCCCCTTTGCAGGAACCCTTAAAGATCCCCTTTAAAGGAACCCCTATCTAATCCCCTTCAAGAAAACCCCTATAATCCCCTTTTGCAGGAACCCTTAAAGATCCCCTTTAAAGGAACCCCTATCTAATCCCCTTCAAGAAAACCCCTATAATCCCCTTTGCAGGAACCCTTAAAGATCCCCTTTAAAGGAACCCCTATCTAATCCCCTTCAAGAAAACCCCTATAATCCCCTTTGCAGGAACCCTTAAAGATCCCCTTTAAAGGAACCCCTATCTAATCCCCTTCAAGAAAACCCCTATAATCCCCTTTGCAGGAACCCTTAAAGATCCCCTTTAAAGGAACCCCTATCTAATCCCCTTCAAGAAAACCCCTATAATCCCCTTTGCAGGAACCCTTAAAGATCCCCTTTAAAGGAACCCCTATCTAATCCCCTTCAAGAAAACCCCTATAATCCCATCCCCCTTTGCAGGAACCCTTAAAGATCCCCTTTAAAGGAACCCCTATCTAATCCCCTTCAAGAAAACCCCTATAATCCCCTTTGCAGGAACCCTTAAAGATCCCCTTTAAAGGAACCCCTATCTAATCCCCTTCAAGAAAACCCCTATAATCCCCTTTGCAGGAACCCTTAAAGATCCCCTTTAAAGGAACCCCTATCTAATCCCCTTCAAGAAAACCCCTATAATCCCCTTTGCAGGAACCCTTAAAGATCCCCTTTAAAGGAACCCCTATCTAATCCCCTTCAAGAAAACCCCTATAATCCCCTTTGCAGGAACCCTTAAAGATCCCCTTTAAAGGAACCCCTATCTAATCCCCTTCAAGAAAACCCCTATAATCCCCTTTGCAGGAACCCTTAAAGATCCCCTTTAAAGGAACCCCTATCTAATCCCCTTCAAGAAAACCCCTATAATCCCCTTTGCAGGAACCCTTAAAGATCCCCTTTAAAGGAACCCCTATCTAATCCCCTTCAAGAAACCCCCTATAATCCCATCCCCCTTTGCAGGAACCCTTAAAGATCCCCTTTAAAGGAACCCCTATCTAATCCCCTTCAAGAAAACCCCTATAATCCCCTTTGCAGGAACCCTTAAAGATCCCCTTTAAAGGAACCCCTATCTAATCCCCTTCAAGAAAACCCCTATAATCCCCTTTGCAGGAACCCTTAAAGATCCCCTTTAAAGGAACCCCTATCTAATCCCCTTCAAGAAAACCCCTATATCCCCTTTGCAGGAACCCTTAAAGATCCCCTTTAAAGGAACCCCTATCTAATCCCCTTCAAGAAAACCCCTATAATCCCCCTTTGCAGGAACCCTTAAAGATCCCCTTTAAAGGAACCCCTATCTAATCCCCTTCAAGAAAACCCCTATAATCCCCTTTGCAGGAACCCTTAAAGATCCCCTTTAAAGGAACCCCTATCTAATCCCCTTCAAGAAAACCCCTATAATCCCATCCCCCTTGCAGGAACCCTTAAAGATCCCCTTTAAAGGGCCCTCAACCCTGCGTCTTCTTCTGCCCGAAAGGCCGACCATGTCGGCGCGGGATCCATGCCGATGCCGGCGCCTTGCGAAGCTCAAGGATAGTCTTAGAAGCGGGTGTTTAGGGGGTTTAGAGGGTTTAGGGGTTGTAGGAACGGGTTCATTGAGTGTTCAGGGCTTCGGGTTTCAGGGCCAAAGGATTGGGGCCTCTGGCTTGGTATGTACTTTCTGATTCCTACTAAACTATAAGTACCTCAAAAGCTTAAAGGCTAGGTATTGGGGATCTGAGATTTGGGCTTCAGGATGTAGGGTGTGCGACTTCGGCATTTCTGGGCCAGGATTCAGGGTAAGGGGTTCAACATCTTGGAGAAGAGGGCTGAATACTTCCGACTCTGAACCCAGAGAGCCCAATACCCCTTCATTCAAATCATAATATGAATCCCTATATGATGCAAGCTTTCTTGCTTAATTAAGGAATATAGCCTAAATCATAACAGGAAGCCCTATATAATTTAAGCTATATTCCTGAATTAAGGGGGATTGGGCTCTCTGGGAAGGGCTCAAGTGTGTACTAGGCACAGCAGGTCGGAGATTCTCTCGTTCACAAGAGTTATTGCATGTTCGTGCTATCTGCGGTCTGTCCAGTGGCGTTTGCATTTAGGGCCGGGAGGTCGGAGGGTTCCAAGGGGCTTCAGGCAAGATGAAGGATCCAAAGCCTGACAAAACTTCAGTCTAACTTGTGCTTGAAACAGCAGTAGCAATCTCTTTTGGGAGGGTCCTTCATACTCTTGCCGCCTGCCTCGCCAATCTCAACTCGCACTGCCTCTAGAAAGTACAGGTTGTGCCGACCCCAGAAGGGAGCTTCCGAAAATAGGGGACGCTAATATAGTACCCTGAATAGTAGGATCCTCATTATAAGGACCCTAAAATAAGGTACCCCTAATTTTCAGAAACTCCCAGAAAGCGCAGGATTCTACGCTGATCACGGCGGTATCGCATCTCTGTGTAAAGAGGTGACTATGCTCTGGGTTCCCCCAAAGACTCCAACATCCCTTAATTAAGGAATATTCCTTAAATTATAGTAGGATCCCTTTTATGATTTAAGGAATATTCCTTAATTAAGTGATATTGGAGTCTCTGGGTAGCCCTCTGATTAGAAGGGTTTAGGGTTTAGGGTTTAGAGTAGCCCTCTAATTTGAAGGGTACCCTATTTTTCCTAGGCTTTGACTTTAAGAAGGGAGCCCAAAAAGGGTACTACTGGGGAACCCTTTTTATCACTCGTGCTCGACAAGTCAGACGAGGTTTGGGGAAACCAACTACAATCACCAGGCAAGCGCATTCACATTGGAACACGCACAGTCACTGCTACCCTTCAAAGGACCCTTTAAAAGGAACCCTATTCTAATCATTCAAGCCCCCTACATTAGGAATCTTCGGTGATAAAAAGACGTCCCCGGACGCAGGAGTGAATCGACTTGAAGCTTCGGACACTTCTCGAAGACTCCCAGGGGAGGGTTTAGGGTTTCGGCGGACAATCCAGGCGAGGCATATGGGTCAGAGTCTGACGAGTGAGACGATACTAAGGAAGTAGTCAAGACGGGAAGCAACGAATGTCATGTTCAACACGTAAAGTAACCGTACCTTGTCGGACGGTTTAGGGTTTAGGGTTGCGCGATGAAGCTTGAAACAAACGGCAACGTCTGCATATCAGAGTCTCTCAAGCAAGTGACTGCCTAAGTTCCGCTAGATCCAAAGATCGATGCTAAGACGGGTCATGGGACGCGGGAGATAGGTTCCAAGATGTTCAAAGGCGGCTTGATGTATTGACCATTATTGACCTATATACTACCCATCCTATAGTCTCCGCTGTAGTTCCTTTTGTTACCTTACCGGATCCGAAATACGAACTTGAGCTTGTTAAACCACAAGAACTGGAGCTACAACGGAGGCTACAGCTTAGCCCGCTGCCTCTCCTTACTCACCCAGACGCTAACATAGGGTCCTTAATAATTAGAATAGGGCGTTGGGGCCCATGACACTACACTGAAAATACGGAACTACATAGGTAACTATCAAAGACCCTAAGATCCTTATAATAGCCCCTTTCGGTAGCCCTTCTAGACCCCTTTTAAAGGAACCCTCTGGGCCCCTGTAGTAGGGATCCCGCGCCTGCAATGCCGCCCTCGATCTGAAGCTCCAGGAGCAGCACCAGGGAGTTCAGAAACACGAGGGGCCCCACGAGGTAGTCGAGTAGTGTGACTATCCGACCTGTTTTCGGAGATGGGTTTAGGGTGACGCTTTACTGTCCGTCAGCCTGCGGTCTGACCGTAAGTAGCGTAGTTTCGCCCGGCACCCTAAGCAGTAGCATCTCTTACAAATCACGACCTTTGTTGTTGCTACTTCTTGTCCTTGCTGGCAATACCACACAAATACTGAGACTGTTATTACGACTGCTTCATCAGTTCGCAGACTGCCTTTTGTTCTCATGGCCATCATGACTACCATTATCTTTACTACTCTCACTATTCTTCGTACCTGTCTTGTTGTCAGCATGTCTTGTTCCATGCAGCTTCTGTAACACGGTTATCGGCCCTTTCCGTCATCCGGTAAGGCCCTGAGAACCACCGGAAGAAGAATAGCCGTAACAACAACAGTGGTAGCGATACTAAGGACAGTTAAACACAGCCAGTATGAGAATGCAAAGAACACCCATCTACAAAAATATACAATGATAGCAAGACTAGCAATAACTAGAAGAAGAATGGCAACGCTAGCAAAAGAACAACCAAGAATGACAATGATGGCTTGACTATCGGTATTACTCTGACCCTGTCTTCATTAGCCTATGCCATCACTACACTAACACTATGATTAACAAAGGTACGGATAATGACAAAAACTAGAAACGAACATAAACATGCATGCTAGGTGAGCCTCTGGGTTCATATCATTTCATAACAAGAAAAGCCGGTACACCACCTAGAGCCGAAAACAACAATACTAACAATGATAACAACAACAAGAATCAAACATCGCAACATTAATAAGAATAGCAGCCATGTCAATACTGACAATACTGGTAACACTAGTAGCAGTAACGATGATGATAGTGGTAATAACGATAGTAGCACGGATATATATATATATATATATATATATATATGACTCCAATCCCACACTCTAAACCTAAATCCCCAACCTAAACCCTAAACCCACACCCTAAACCTAAATCCCCCACCTAAACCCTTAACCTACACCCTAAACCTAAATCCCCCAGACGACCCCAAAAACAGCCACGGGTCCTCGGATGCGGTCGCACCAGGTCTGGGGCGTCTCGGAGATGGCAAAGGCGGCGGCCGCGCCTCACTCTTCAGGGGTTTAGGGCTCTAGTGCTTAGGGTTTAGGGGTTTAGGTGTATTAAGGGTTTAGGGCTGAGTGCCTGAGGGTGCCAAACCTTGCCCAAACATTTTGACCGCTTTGGGGAGTTCGCATTCTGCTGCCTCTCTTACCCCGAAAGCCATCCCGGACGGCTCCCCTTCTTGCCGGCCCCGGCACGGACATTGGTGCTCCCCATGCCAGGCGCCTTGCGATGTTCTACACGCTGGGGTCTCGTAATTTGGGGGGCGCTTATAGCGAGGATTCTGCTGCTCGGGGATGTGTATTATGGGCCCTCGTTTTGAAACTCTCGAGAGCCGCTGCGGGAGCATGCCAGAACCCGCAGTCTTCATTCCGACAACCGCTATTTTCAAAGTCAGCAGTCGCGGTAGCTCTCCATTTTTGACTCCGAACTGTATCAGTAAATCTCATGTTCACTGTGCTGGGGCTAGCTACATTGCATGGTGCAGTGTAAAAAGTCACAGAGTCGAGTCTGGCGCCTTGCAGGTCGAAAGAGGTTCGTAGCGCGGCAGGGTGGCGTCAGGACTTGAGGCTTAAAGCTACTTTACTAGGAGGTGCTTTTAAAGCCTTTGAAAAATATTAGTAGGTAAGATCTTCTTAAGCCCAATAAGGGAAAATATAAAATGTCCCAAGCCCTATCTAGTTTACCTTCAGCCTGCGTGATGATTGCATCAACACGTCCCTGAAGTAAGACACCGACCAAAGACTGGGAAGGAGGCTTCAAGAAGCGGCCAAATAGGGACCCAGACTAGGCGCTACAGAGTAGGATCCTTCTTACATGGACCCGTACTTTGGAGTCCCAAACATTGACAAATTTCCGCAGAAAGTGCCACACATCAGCCTCAGTGACGAAAGGTATTGCTGCTGATTGCACTGGTCGGCTAGAGGCTGCAACAGAGGGAAGGACTTGCTACCCTGAATCAACGATGAAGTCAAGACCCCTGACTATATAGATGTCGATTTGAACGTCTCCAAAAGTTATGTATAACTCTCTCTCTCTCTCTCTCTCTTTCCTTGGATTAAACAGTATGGGGAATGCAACAAAATATCCCAAATCGATACCTAGCTCAGGTAAACGGCCCTGGGTACAGCTCTGTGCGTCAGGGAGGCAGAGGTGGTGGAGGTTCGGCCCACTGTGACTGGCGGCACAAACTCCTCATAGGGTTCAGGGCTTTACGCTCTCGCAACTCGGACATGCCCGACGAGGTTAGGGTTTACGGATGCAGTTCGGGGCAGGTGAATGTAGGGGCCGTATCAGCGATTAGAACTGGGGTTCTGGGCACGTTATACGCTAGTTATAAACAGGAGCCCTAAGGAAATACTGCTGGCAATTATTCCGACCCCTAATTAAGTACTTGCTCGGCTTGCGGATGTGAGCTTACGGCTTTCGGTTCCGTCTCGCCTCTTGCGCGCAGCAGTAAGTCGGACGACACGCCGAACAAAAGCCCTTTTCAGAACGGCCGGACCGATGAAAGTCTAGAATAGAGTAGACTAGAACAGAACAGAAAAGACTAGAATAGAACTAGCGTAGAATGAGAATCAGCACAGAACCGAATAGACAAGAACAGAACAAAAAACAGAAACGAGCAGAACAGACTATCAAACGAACAGAACACTAGGGTGGTTGTCAAAATTAGGGTTCCCCTTTTGGGTCCTTATTACCTATGATTTAGGGTACCCAAAAAGGGACCCTAATTTTGACAACCACCCTATAATAGAAAAAACCGGCCTCTGCATCCGAAACCTCGGAGCTGTCGGAGATCGAAGGGGAGCGCTGCAGGACCTCAGGCTGCACCGGAGCCTCCTGGCGTCTTTTTGCGGTTTAGGGTTTTGTTTTGTTTTAAAAAAAAACAAGGTTTAGGGGTGATGGGGTTTAAAGGTATAGGGTTTAAGGGCTTAGGGTTTGGGGTTTAAGGGTAGCAATAAGGTTTAAGGGTTTGGGGTTTGAGGGCTTAGGGTTTGGGGATTAAAGGTAATAATAGGGTTTAAGGGTGTAGGGTTTAAGGGCTTAGGGCTTGGGGTTTAAGGGTAATAATAGGGTTTATTTTTGTTAAGATGCAGTGGCCTAATAGGGTTTAAGGGTGTAGGGTTTAAGGGCTTAGGGTTTGGGGTGTTTGGGGCTTAGGGGTGATTAGGATTATAAGGGTATAGCGCTTTTAGGGGCATATCTTTGTGGTGTTTGGGGTTTAGGGTGATTAGGATTATGAGGGTATAAGGCTTTTAGGGGCATATGTGTGGTTTTTGTGGTTTTCGGGGTAACAGGGACTATAAGGGTAGAAGGTTTAAGGGCCGAGGGTTTGGGGTTTAGGGTTTAGGGGTAATACGGTTTAAGGGTATAGGGGTTAAGGGCTTCAGGGCTTGAGCTTTAGGGTTTTAGGGTTTGGGATTTAGGGTTGTTTGGAGGTTTTGGGGGGGCTTTGTAATTGACCTTTTGGCATCTTCGAGTGTTTGGGATTTTGGTGGGTTTCTTGGTTTGAGGGCTTCGGACGAACTCTCTAAACTTCTTGGGTTCAGGGTTCCGTTAGACCCAGGGTCTTCAGGCTGTCTTCAGGTTCCTATAAAGGGAACTCCAGAAAGTTGGAATATGGTTTCAGGGTAGGATACCCTATAATTTACCATAAAGGGTTTAGGATAATCATATTCCAACTTTCTGGCTTTTACTTTAGTAGTCCCGGCAGCTGCCTTGCCTAGTCCGAACTGGCGAAATACTCGAAGACTCCAGCGCAGTTCCGTGCTTACTGGGATGGTGTATGAACACCTATGAACACTTAAAAAGGCATTCATATCCAAGGTCTTGGTTTTGAGGTCTACTGTCTAAGATTCAGGGCGTGTTCCCGCACAGACAAGTCTGTCTATTGGATATCTGCAAGCATCTTGTGGGGCTTTAGTGCGTCGTACTTCACAAGACGAGTTCTTACTTGACGGATCAAGGGAGTTGGTGACTCGGTTTTCGCTTGAGCAAAACACCTTCTGCAAATGCGTGCGAGGGCATGTGTAATACGATAGGGCATGGGATGGCGTATACAAACACACAGCGCTACCATACTCATCCTCTTCTGAAGGTTCACTACTGGGAAGTCCCCGTCCGTGTCTTCTACATTCTAGACCAACTTCATCCAGAAGGTGTCGTGTGGGAAAGTAGAAGAAAATTAAGCCGACTATCATGAAGAACCCGAACTTGACGACGATGTCGAAGCAGCCCCACATGGGGCCATCCGAGAGTGCATTCTGGGAACAGGCTCTATCGCTATTGCTCTCCTCTCTCACGTGATAACACCTGCCATGAAGTGGCTGCCCAGCTGCCCTTTAAGGGGTCCTTTGAGGGATCTATCAGGGTTCTATTAAGGGGTCCCATTTAAAGGGTACTATAGGGCTCGTCTATATCAGTACGTCGGAGCTTACCACCCTCTCAAGATGCCCTGCAGGTCCAAGTCCTCCGGCAGTGCGTCAGTAGCCCGGAGCTGCACCGAGGAAGGCTGACGCGAAGAGGCCACCGCGAGCTTGATCCCTGTGCCAAAACAAGCGGGTTTCGGGCATTGGTTCTCCAAAACGTGCAATTAAACTGCCACTCTCGGTGGGGAACAGCCCGTGCCTGCCGCAGGAGATGTCTGCAATTGATCCGGAGCAGCTTGATCGTCACAACCTACTGGTGCAAGATGGGACTTTCAGGAGTTTTCGCCCCCTCACATAGCGCAAACACATGCAAATACTGAGCCTGTACAGCAATCGTCGGCCCCCAAATACACATGTAATACTTGTACGCCATTCCTCCATTCCCTACTACCCAAAGGTAAGTTATAGGATTATTAAGGCCCCTATAATATAGTACCCTTATAGTAATCCTTATAGACCCCTTTATAAGGCCCCTTTAATTCCCTACTACCCATAGGTAGGCGGCTGAAGGCTGGTTGTCACGTCCAGGCGACGCCAAGGACTTCCAAGCCGAGCAGCAAGCGCCGGGCCCAGACAAGCGCTGGAAGGCATCCTCCGGACGGCCCCGGCACGGTGGCACTCAAAGCTGCACGGACTGAAGAGTTTAGGGTTTCGGATTTAATTTGGGGTTTGGGGTTTAGGGTTTAGAGGTTTCCGGGGTGTTGGGCTGGGGAATGGAGAGCCCTTGCTTTCCCGGTGGTTCATCCGAAGGCCTCGTCATCGTAACACTCGGATGATAAAACTATCGGCTGCCCTTTCTCTCCGCAGTGACCCGTCAACCCTCAGCATCCCTCCATCGGAACCTGATCCCTGCAACACTCCTGGATAGCTTCCTCCAACACTGCGTGCTGGGCCTTGCAGGCTGGTTCAAGGGTTTCGACGCTCGCAACCGGCATTGGGGGTCCGGGATGTTTCGGGTATAGAAAGTTTAGGGTCTAGGGCTTAGTGCTCGAAGTTTATGGAAGCTCGGCACCTGGAGTTTCGACTTGCAGATGGGAGTTCCGAGCTCACATTTAATATAGGGGCCTCGATAATTAGAACAGGGATTTGGGGTATATTATACTATAACTATAACACGGAACCCCCAAAATAGTACAGGTAATTATTAAGGCCCTGATATAAGCTCACTTCAGCATCTGCGCGTCGGAGGAATGCTTGAGTACGACTTGGGCAGGCGAGGTCAGAAGACCGCTTTCAAGGATGGCGCGCCATGAGCGCTCGGGAGCGTGTGGGAATGTCTTCTGTCCCTAAACCCAATGAAACGTCACCCAGGAAACCCAAGCCAGACCTCCCTCCCCAAGCCGAAGACTTGGAACACCTGCAGCACCTGCACCCCAGACCCTTCATTCAACGGACTTCATGGCAAAATCTCCAACCATCTTCCTTCTCAAGCTCTTAGAGCCTCTACCCCCGAAGAAGCCCTACCGCAGTTCGCCGAAGGCCGTCGGGGCACAACTGCCAAGCCCAGCAGACGCTGCTGTTCCTTGGCCAACAGCGTGAAGCCATTCTCTTCCTCCGGCTGGAAGGATTCGAGACAAAGGTTTAAGAAGTCTGGTTTTCGTGGAGGCCTCCTGACTTCCAAAGGCTTTCCTGAGGGCCACCTGACTTGCAAAGGCTCTCATATTCATATGTAGTACATGCATACATATGTATGTATATATAACTATACATATACATGTATATATGTGTGTGTGCGCATTTACTTGTTAACTTATAACGCGGAGACCTTTTTCACAGACTTGTATGTGCCCGCCTGGATCTCAAGGAAGACCTTAACCCTGAATCGCCTGAGCACTTAACTGCCAGATGGATTTTCGAAGCCTGATACAGGGGTCACAGTTTCAATAATTAGAATAGAATTTGTTTTCGGGGGGGGGGGGGGGGGCATTATACTGTAAAATATAATCAGGAACCACCAAAATAGTAGAGATATGTATTTGGGCACCTTTATTGCACGCTCTGTGGGCTTCCTGGTGGGAGGATTCGCCACCAGGAGATTGGGCTTAGGGCTCAGGGTTGAAGGTTCAGGGTTTAGGGCTGAGAGCAGAGCTACCCACATCCACAAATCCTTCAACCGCACATGTCCTGAAACCCACAAAAGGAACTTCAACCCTGAAAAGTAACTGCCTCACCTTCAACTCCCGAACGCTAGAGTCGCTGGAACTCGAAATCAAACACCCCGGCGCGTGCTTTTTGTGCCCAAGATCTGCACGGTCTGGGCTTTTCCGGATTTAGGGTGCCAGGCTCTAGGACCCTACGACAGGGTCTGACAGTTCAGGGTTTTGGGCTTGTTGCTTTGAGCTTTTCGGGTTGGCTGTTTTTTCCATCTTATAACCGGCCCTCGGTCGGAAGTCATTCACGGGCTGCACCCTCACAACACCGTTTACCGACTCCGCACTGTCATGCTGTAAACAAAAACGAGACACAGTAAGGTCGTGCCCTCCGACTCCTGCAGCCCAAAAAACCGAATAAGCCCAACGGAGGATTCTCTGCGTGCCTTTGATTCCATGGCACCGGCACAGATGCGGCCGCTTTATCCGCGGGGGAGTACAGTAATGAATATTTGGCTTTTGGCGTTAGTTTACGGCTGAAGCTTTCGGGTTGCTCGGGTTCCGGTTCAGTGTTCGCTTGTTCAAACGGTCTCAGATTTCCGTCGTCCGCCGGGGGCTCAGCGTGCAACAGCTCCAAGGTCGCGGGCTTGCTTACGTGGTCTGCTGCCCCGCGCTTTTAGGGTTTAGGGGTCCTTATGCGTCCCCAGCCCCTTGTGCATGAGATGTACCCTGGACATGTTTCGTGCAACTAGGCGACGAAGCGGCCCTAAAACCCTTCCCGCAAATGGTATGCACGATATGCAAGATGATTGTCGCCCTATAATCTTATAGCGCACTATATCGTACAATATTGTCTATACTAAAATATCGGCACGGCTGTTCATGTCCTAAACACCGGATCCTAAGCCCCGGGAGCTCAAAGCTGCAGGTTGACACAGATAATGCGCAAGCCGGCGGTTTAGGGGCTTAGGGTGTAGGGTCTGGGGTTTAGGCTTGAGGGGGCTTAGGTTTAGAGTCCATGCATGCAAATTGCCCTATCCAAAAAGCAGCTGGATGCATCTACATAATGTCAGGGCCTTAGCAATAGTATAGATAACTATCAAGGTTATTATATATGAGGACCCCGACATAAGGTACCCCCCAAATTTTCGGGAAGTCAACTATGAAGCGCCTTAAAGACCATTTTTCATACCCCCGAAACTGGGGACCGCCGGGTTCATACAACACAAACCCCCTAAACCCTAAACCCTAAACCCCTAAATCCTAAACCCTAAACCTAAGGCGGAAACCCTAAAGTCCCACCGGCATACAAGAAAGTTTAGGGTGTAGCAGGGTTTCAGAGTTGCGGGGGTTAGGGCTTAGGGTTTGCCGGTCAATAAAACTCTGCTGCGTGATGTAGGTGCTCCATGCAGCACTAGCGGGGCAACCACACACAACTGACTGGAAACAGTAGCCGATGGCATTGCCACTGACGGAAATCTGCAGTTGTGTCTCACTTTCAATGTGGCTTGTGTGGCAACACGAAAACGTTCAGGGAAACATGCGCGCAGAATCGGAGGCAAGAAGTGGGGGCAAAGCATTACGATCAGGAAAACGCATAGTATGTAAGTGTATATAAACTGAAATCTTTAATTTAATGTTAAATTTGTAATACATAACTTGTAATAAGAATATATAATGGGATAAGACACAGATGTGGAGACCCAAGCGGAGCGGCACCCTCAAAACGGCAAAATGACATCGGCAAAACGCACCTGGAACCCAAGAAAAAGGATCAACACAGATAATTTTGGGCCGTGATACAGCAGCAAGGGATGGCATGGTCATGATGACGGTGGCATACTGACGTCCATGGGGGATGGTGGTGCACCAGGACGGTAAAAGAGGAGATGGAAGAAGACAAGACATCTGCCAACTGACAATGGTATGAACCCGAGCAACACCCAAGAAGGAAGGGTAGACCTGCATATGTATACATGTTTGCATAAACACCTACGGGATAAAGATGCCTGCGAGCGTGTGTGTTTGTGTGTGTGCGCACACGTGCTGCGACACATCTGAAACATTCCCTGGCTGCTCGGGCCCCTTCCCTGGCCTGCAGGTGCTTCGACACAGGGTCAAAGGAATCCATGACCACACCAGCGGCAAACACATGTGTCGGCTCTCCTGCAGCTCTTCGAACGGAATCGCTGCATGGGGCGGGGGCTACGGCTTCGTGCTGTTGTGTGCAAAATACTGGGCTCATCAGAAGAAACTCAAGACATGGACCCCAAGGCTCCGCCACAATGCGTAGACTTCTGCCTCATCACAGACACCCTCGATAAAGAAAGATCTCATCCACGTGAAGCTTTCAAGAGGTGACTCTTCGGCAGTCCTCCGACCAGTTGCTCGTGCATGATGCAAATGTCCTCCTGCGCGTTGCTCTGGGGATTCTGGGACTGTGGCAAGATGAATCAGTGGACTTGCATCAGAAGTTTTAGCAGGCCCTTCTGTTGGATCCATGACATTTCAGGGTTTTGGGTTTACCGTATGTGAATTTCAGTGTTTAAAGTTGCACGGAAGCAACCTCCTTGCCCGAATGCTTTTCCGTTTGCCACCCAATACGAAGGGCATGGTTTGGAGCATCTGCCACATCTGAACCCTGCACCCGGTGAGGAAGAAGATGAGTAAATGGTGAAACTGTAATGTCGAACGTGACATGCACAGGTAGACGTCAATGCATGTATGCGGAGGACGTCTTGTTGTGCGCTCTGAAGGCATGCTCACCCTCGAATGTAAGACTGTTGGTTGTGCTCTCCAACTAGCGGTGTCGTTAAGTCCTGCTTGCCACGAAGGATGATTCTGATAAGTCTCATTCAGGATACTCCCAATCCGCTCGTAAGCCCTCATACCCGCCTGCAGAACGGACCCGAGCAACTCAAGCGGCTTGTCGGCATAGTCGGCAACGTCCCAGTGCAGCCCTTGGAATGTGAAGATCTGAAAGGGACATGCACTACGGGTTTTTAAATTGTTCAAGCTTGAAAAATTTCAGTGTATGACAAGAACCCAGAGCCCGATTCTAATCATGGAGGCCCCTATGTTATGCAGGGTACACAAACTGAACATCACATATTCCCCAGGCGCTTTCCCGGTCTTCCGAAATGCACTCGTCATCCCGAGGACAGAATAGGGATCCAGTAAATCATATGGTTCTTTATTACAGAGGCTGATGAAAGCTCTCAAGGCGGAAGAATACCGAGGCCACCGCCCTCGCCGAGGCTGCTGAACCTCGCGGAGGTTAGGGTACAGGGGTTTCTTACTACTTTCGGGGCCTTAATAATTACAGTATACGATAGTTACGATAAGGAATCCCCACAGTAGTATAGGCAATTATCTAGGCCCCTATAGTAGGGTTTCGGGGCTTACTCTAGGGTCTTCTAGCGAGAAGCCCGGCTGCTGCTGCAGCTGCTCTGGTTTTTGGGAGCTGCGGCTTTCTCTCGGAGGACAAAGTAGTGATACAGTTGTTGATAGTACGTCGCGCCAGCAGGAGCAGCAAAAGCAGCAGTTGCAGTCGCAGCAGCAGCAACAGGAGTAGTAGTGCTATTGCTTGCCTGTCGCAGTAGCAGGGATAGTAGTACTAGTAGTGGTAGTAGTGGTAGTAGTGGTAGTAGTGGTAGTAGCAGTAGTAGTAATAGTAATAATAATAGTGGCAGTGGTGTTAGTGGTGGTAGTGGTGGTAGTGGTGGTAGTGGTGGTAGTGGTGGTAGTGGTGGTACTGGTGGTAGTGGTGGTAGTGGTGGTAGTGGTGCTAGTGGTGGTAGTGGTGGTGGTAGTGGTGGTGGTAGTAGTAGTAGTAGTAGTAGTAGTTGTTGTGGTAGTAGTTGTTGTTATTGTAGGAGCAGCAGTAGTCGTTGATGCTGCAGCATGTAGCGGAGGACATGGGATGTGTAGGAAGAGCGGAGGGTAGCAAGCAGAAGGAGCAGTCGGAGTGTTAGTGGCAGCCGGAACATGAAGATCCACTGCACAGTCGACGCGATCTTGCACTCTTAAAACACTTTATGACATTTTGTTACTTCCCGACGCCAGGTCACCTGCCATCTTCCAACGCGAACCGAGCCGGGAAATTCACGGCCTCACCATGCACTTGCAGATACAGAAATGGAGAGGTCCACGCATTAGTTATACTTCTGTGTCTGCCGCACACACAAGCGTACAAAGCTGACATGAGCGAGACAGATAAACAGATAAGTCGATCGTTTGATCGATGGGTAGATCATAGATCGACAGAACGATCGACCGATAGATAGGTGAATAGATAATTAGGCAGGTAGGTAGGTAGGCAGGTAAGTAGACGAAGGTGAAGATATGTAGGTAGGTAGCAAGGTAGCTAGCTAATGGATGGACAGGTAGCTCAGATAGACTTAGATACACCGACAAATGGTTAGATAGATAAGTTAGGGCGAGTGAACAGGGGTTCGTACTCTGCGTTTTTGGCGAAACTTGGAGCATCTGGGAACAAGAGGGTCCACACTTGCACTTATCCTCGAGCCCTCAACTGGGATGGACAATGTTACACGATCATCTCAACAGCAGCCCAAAGAATCCAATATCAAACAAACTAGTCAATATACCTTAAATCATATTAGGGATCCTACTATAGTTTAAGGTGTATATTCCTTAACTTAGGGTTTTTTGGTGTCTCTGGTAGCGTTATTTTCCCGAACTGTTTGTCTCAGAGCCGGGGGGGACGCCCGGAGCTTGAAATTGTGCGAAGGTGAACTTGGAGGCTCATGGGTAGTTATGAGTGTTCTTTTAACGGCCCCTTTAAGGGGATCTATAGGGATTCTATGAGGGTGTGGGGTTTAGGGCCTACTTGGAGGTTCATGGGTAGTCATAAGTAAGGTTATAAGTCCCCTAATCGGACTTATAACTATAGTTACCCTAAACTTCGACCTGTAGCAAAAGTTACTAATTTTTAGCTGCCCCTTAGGGAATATAGGAACCATGATTAAGAATTATTCTGAGTACCCCTCGGTGAAGTGTTCGCCGCAAGCGGGGTGGATGCTTGAGAGATGAACTTCACGACGCAGTCGCTAGCTTCGGGTCGTGGCATATGCCACGGTAGCTCTTGCACTTAGCACAATCACCCTCCTCCAAGAACCCTCTGACACGTCTGAATCAGAATCTTTATTGCTTCCTACAGCCTAAACCATTTTTGCCACTGGGCTTGGGGCTAGCTACAGCCTAAACCCCAAACCCCAAATCCTAAACCCCTAAAGCCCGCTAAACCCCGCTAAACCCCTAAACCCTAAACCCTAAACCCCTAAACCCTAAACCCCTAAACCCTAGCCCCTAAACCCCTAAACCCCTAAACCCCTGCGGATTTTTGAAACGACGCCCGCCCTCTTCGAGGACCTGATTTCTACGCGGCACGGACCGGGGCCCAAAGAGCTCCCAAAGATCTCAGAGAGCTCTCCTCTGGCGATGTCGGGCCTCAAGACCGGAGTTTTAGGGTTCAGGGTTTACTTAGAGGATCATGGGACTTAGTAGGTAGGTTATAATGGGGGTTATAAGTCCCCTAAGTGGGGTTATCCTAATTATAACCTACTTATAACCTTACTTACTAAGTACCATGAGCCCTCAAGTAGGGTGCTTTAGGGGTTCAGGCTTTAGGGGGCTTTTAGGGGTTTAGGGGTTCAGGGTTTGGGGGGGCTTCAGAGGTTTCAGGGGTTTAAGGGTTCAGGGTCTGGGCGGCCTTTAGGGGTTTAAGGGTTCAGGGGGTTTAGGGGGCTTTAGTGGTTTAGGGTTTGGGCTTTAAGGTTTAGGGGCGTGGCTTTATTGAGCGACAGGCTCATGAGGCCTTGTACTCTTACTCCGACACCCGGGCCACGATCCCATGCTCGATCGGCTGCGCGAGAAAACTCAACCCAAGAAATGGACTCAGGTGTTGCAGACACGGCTGCTGGCTGTTGAAAGTGCCTCGGATTCATAATTAATCTTTGCCTAGCACTCGACAAGACCATCAGTTAAGAATATGGTTCCCTGATTTTTAGGTGACGTTCAACCCGCACGCCAAAAACCGTAGCCCTGCCGTGTGTGGGTTGGCCGTTTCTGTTGGTTTTTCTTTGCGGCCGCTTGATTCGGTATGGGGTTTATGAATGCTTGAGACGGCTCGGAGGCTGGACTTAAAACCCTAACACGCAATGCCGGAGAGAGAGCGCCAAATTGCAAAACCCTGAAACCCGGGTGATAGTGGTTGAGCAGCTGTTGGCCCGCTGATGTGCCCCTGCATTGATTCACAAAAGCCCCGAAATCCCGAAACCCTACCCAAGGAAGAATAATGGTCCAAAACCTACAAAAGGCTATTATTCTACATACCCTAACCCTAAGGAAAAAAAAATGGTCTAAAACCTACCAAAGGCCATTATTCTACATACCCTAACCCTAAACCCTAAGCCCCTTTTTTTTTTCCCTAAGCCGTTTTGGGGCCCAGGGATAAACCCTAAACCAGGGACTTAGGAGCATCGCTGTCTCCACATCATCGTCCACCTCGGGAATCCTTCGAGTGAAACTGTAGATTCAAACAGGGCCCCTTCAAAACCAGATTCAAAATCACAGACATAGATATTTCATATTTTGTTGATGTGATAGTTGCTGTTTTTGAAAAAGTAAAATGACAATAAGAATAACAATCCCAATATCAATAAAGCATCTCACCATGACGGCTCGAGCCTCCTTACATGGGGGGGCCCTGGTTACCCGCCGAAGGCGTAAGGTCTTGAACACTTGGCTCGGCCCTTGTTTGGGTGCTTTCGCACCTGCCTGGCCCGGGGAATGAAATCAAGATTGATGCGTGCCGCAGGTGCTGCTTGGGCTCTTAGGCTGTCAGGCTTTAAGGCGTTCAGAACGAGATCTTCTCAGAGAGCAAACGCGCGAGGCTTCTTAAACACTCAACCTGATGAGAGTAAGCAAGAACCCGGACTGCACTTATCCGGAAAAGACGCAGCACATAATATGTAAGCGCCACGAAAAATATAGAAACGAAGGAGCCTGTGAGGGACCAAATCCCTAAGATGCCAGCAATCTCAAAATCCTAAGCCCAGAATCCCTCTCTCGAATTTAGACTCCCAGAGAGCCCAAATGCCCCTTATTTCAGGAATATGGCTTAAATTATATAGGGCTTCATATTATGATTTAAGGTATACTCCTTAATTAAGGTGGGCTCCTAGTTGTAGGCTTCCTGGGCAGCCTTCGAGGGCCTTGCGACGGGCTGCGCAAGGCTTCATGAGGTACTACCGGGGCCTTCATAATCAGAAGACGGTTTTGGGGGGCATATTCTGCGATAAGTACAATAAGGAACCCCCAAAATAGTATAGGTACCCCGAGAAGCCCCATTCTAATTATCAAGGCCCCGAGAGTATAGTACCCTTATAGATCCCTTATAATAGCCCTTATAGGCCCCTTTTGAGGAACCCCATTCTAATTACTAAAGGCCCCTTCTTTTAGGAAATTTGGAGCTCGAGAGTTTCAGGGGGCATTCACTTCGGGCTGCTTCTGTCTGGTTCCTAGTAGGGAATGGCAATGGGGGAATGGGTTATGAGTTCGGGAATATTTACCTTAACCCCAAGTAACCTACCTTTTGAAGGACTTAGGGGTTTGAGGGGTTTAGGGTTTAGGGGTTTAGTGGTCAAGGGGCTGAGGGGTTTAAGGGTTTAGGGCTTGCAGGGTTTAGGGTAGGCTGTTGGGCTAAGGGTTTGGGTTTAGGGCTTAAGGGGTTCAGGGTGGGAGAGAAGAGCACACTGCGCTTAAACGAACTGCGATTGGAGTCATCCGCGCCAATCCGATTGCCAAGATGGAGGGCAACCGCATAATTAACAGCATCGAAGCGTGTCAAGCGAGAGTAGAAGCATTTGCAACCGTTCGTTATTCTATTGGTTGGCAGTGGTCTTCCATACCAATTCCGACGACTCAGTTAACGCCCGCCGCCGCAGAGCCTAACCTTCCTCCTGGCAGACCTGAACAAGCTCACATGCTCTTACAAATTACACTGGTTCTCAATGTATGTCTAGCCTGTCGATGTTGATGCATTTTGGCAACGGTAATACAAATGCTACTTAGAGTCCCAATCATCAGAATAGTCAGAAACTTACCTCATCGTCACCACAACACGTGTGGCCGTGAGCAGCCTTGATCAGCACTATCATCAGCAACATCATCGTTGACGCCACACCTGTCACCATCGCCTTCAGATGCGATATTGGCATCTCTCGACCTTGTATCATCGCCACCATAGCTACGGCGACGTGGTGCTCAGTACTTGTGCTACTTCTTGGGTTAATTACCCGATTCTTTCTATGGCTTGCCAAAGACTCCTGCTGACAATTACCCATCATAACCATAGCCAGGGTGAGAAGCCATGCGCCTGTGTCTTTCTGGCTCGGTTCGAGATTATTTGGCTAAGTCACGTCCGAAGCCCAACATTCAAATCCCGAATGATGAAACGTTGGCGGACGCCAAGGGTTTGAGCGCAAGTGCAGCGGTTCTCACTATTAAATAACAGCTCTGGTGGAGTAGAGGGCTCCGTCGCGCATCCATACATAGGGAGCTCCACTTACAGGGCCTTGTCAAAGGCTCCCAGATGTCCGCGACAAGTACAGAGCATTGCAGAGCCGAGCGCCCTTCAAGGCTGCGGCCTCTTATCTGGCAAACGGACTGCAAGGTTCAGTCGGTTCAGTGCAGCAGCGGAAGGCCGCTTTAAATTCTGCTCCAGCAGTTTCCGTCCAGACGAAACCACAATCCCACGGTTTAGGATTTAGGGGTTTAGGACACCGGAACGCAATGAATTCTCGAGCTGACTTTCGATCAGGTACACTTCGCACATGCTGCCATGGAGAAAACCGTGCTTGTTGAGGTTTCATATGCGAAAACCGATAATATTCTGCAATCTGCTATACTTATGTATACTGTATTGTACAATGTTATTCTACCGTATCCTTTACTGAAATCTTGCGCAGAAACACGCTTCCAAGCCTCTTGGGCATTTCTTCGCAGCACTCTGGGGGGCGCTGCTGCCCCTTGACTTTCGACCACATATTTAGACGGTCTAGAGTTTAGGTGGACATGTTGAGGCCGTGGCTCCTGACCCTGAACCCTCTAAACCTCAACCCTTCTTTTCTTGCTTAACTTAGGTACGTCCCTTCAGGTCCCAAGTAGCTAGGTGTTTATGAGTCTATCCGTCTTACCTCTCAAGTATAGACCCGGTTTATGGTTTAGGGTTTCGGCGCTCACACTCCCGGTTTAGGGTTTAGGGTTTTGGATTCATGACCCTAAACTCTGCACTCGGAAGCCGCAAGAAGGTTCGACGCTCGAGGCAATCCGACGTAGCACCTTGCCTGGACTGCTGGCACCGCATTCGGCGGCGGCAGCAGGTGAAAGCTCTGTGCACAAGGGAGTGTCTCGAAATTAGGGAGGACTCGTTTTGGGGGTCCTTACAGCCCAAACTACGTCGGCCCCTTACAATTTCTGAAACTCCCACGTGAAGGAATGGGCTTTTGGCCAGCGTTCATGCGAGCGCTTCAAGAGCGGGCGACTCTCGGAGAACTTTTGGAACTTTTGCTCCTTTCCTCTTCTCCTGGCCAGAGCATGGGAAGTGCATGCAGTGATTCGGGATAATGTTGATCATCTACTCTACACTGTACTTTACGAACCATAGTGTAAGAAAATGTATTGTGCTGTGTCATGCAGAGCACTCTGAACCTGCCTTCTCTCCTGCGTATGCTGCTGCTGCTAGTAATATCAATAGTCGTCGTGGCGGTTGATAGCAGTCGTGGTGGTGGTGGTGGTGGTGGTGGTGGTGGTGGTGGTGGTGGTGGTGGTGGCGGCGGCGGTGGCGGTGGTGGTGGTGGCGGTGGTGGTGGTGGTGGCGGTGGTGGTGGTGGTGGCGGTGGTGGTGGTGGCGGTGGTGGCGGTGGTGGCGGTGGTGGCGGTGGTGGTGGTGGTGGTGGCGGTGGTGGGGGTGGTGGCGGTGGGGGCGGCGGCGGCGGCGGCGGCGCGGTGCGTGCAACACCCAGAGCCATCGAGTTACTGTCATCATGGCGACAAGGATATCAGCCACGTAGCTTAATCACTATCCCCGAACCCCTTTGTCACTACAGGCATGAGAAACTATCTGCCGCCCTTATGCAACAGAAGGGTGAACCATGAGGCCTGCTTTTATGCATGAGGAGTTTTTGGAGTCATTACGTCTTTCGAGATGGCTCGTGATTCTTGCCTTCTGTTCACGGACCGCTCTCTGTAGTTCAGTAACCCCTTTGGAGGAACCCTGAAACCCTAAACCCCCAGACCCCAGACACAAAAAGCCTTGTGGCTGTGGCTGGGTGTTGAGATGATGCCCGAGCTCTTGAGCATCCTCGCTTGGATTTGCGCTTGGGGTTGGGGTTTAAGATGTCAAGGGTTTCTCAAGGCTCCCCGGGTGGGATGAAGGTGGGGTTTAGGGTTTAGGGTTTAGGGTTTAGGGTTTGAGGTAATCTCAAACACGGGTCCGTATGCAAGGGGAACTTGGCCTACCTACCTTCATCCCAGGTTTTGAAGCTTCGCTTGGGGTTTCGGATTAATAGTGGTTTGCAGAGGACAAGCCACTTTGCGGATTCATAGCCTTTAGGGTTTAGGGCTTAACAGCTCAGGGTACGTAGATGTTGTTGCTTGGGGCTTATGCGTTCAAGATATAGGATAAGGGCCCGTTTTGAGCATGGGCTTGGAGTGTGTGCCAGCGAACACTCCTCAACAGCTGGGCCTTCTCGTTTGACGTGCGATGTGAGAGAAACACGAGAAGTTAACAAGCGCGGACGATCTCCTGGGATAAGGGCCGTAAACCCTAAACCCTGAGGCTGATCACCATGTAACCGGAAGCAGGGTTCGGGGTTCAGGGTTTCGGGTTTTTCAGGTTTTTCGGTGCTCACACTCGGACAATCCAGGCGAGGCGTATGGTTCGGAGTCGGACAAGTGAAACGGCACTAGAGGAAGTAGTCGCAATGACAAACAACAAAAGTATGACCAACAAATAAGGTGACTGTGCTTCCGCATTAGGGGTTTTAGGGTTTAGGGTCTTGGGTTTTTAAGGATTTCAAAGTTTTTTCCCAGGGTTTAGGGTTTAGGGTTGTAAGGGGTTTTTAGGTTTAGGGCACCCAGCTGATCCAGCGAGGCCCCGAGTGCCCCGTGCAATGCAGGGGCCTTTAAGAATTAGAGTAGGGTTCCTTAAAAGGGCTACTATAAGGGTATACTGTAGGGGCCCGAAAAAATTAGAATAGGCTTCCTTAAAAGGGGGTATAGCAGAGGCCTTGATAATTAGAGTAGGGTTCCTTAAAAGGGGTCTATAAGGGCTACTATAAGGGATCTGCAAGGGTACTGTACTATAGAGGCCTAAACAATTAGAATTAGGGTGCCTTAAAAGGGGTCTATAAGGGCTACTATACGGGATCTGCAGGGGTACTATACTATAGGGGCCTGAATAATTAGAATAGAGTTTGGGGGTATATTGTAGTATGTAAGTACAATCAGGAACCCCCAGATCCTGTTGTAATTGTTAAGGCTCCTACACTTTCCGCAGGTAATGCAGGAACCTGATCAAGAAACCTTGGGCCTTTATTCGGGTTCTGTTTATGAATCTTACTTTTTGGGGGTTATAGGCTTAATCAGGTTCGTACATTAGGGTTCGACTGTCTTTGGAAATCATGGTCCCGCTGTGCAGCAATCCCTACTCAGCGACATCTCAATACCGCTTAAGGACTATAGCTCAAATCATAATATAAAGCCCCATATAATTTAAGCCATATTCCTTGGTTACGGGGTATTGGGCTTTTAGGCTTTAGGGCTCAGAGTCGCCTGCATTACCTTAATGACCCTGGACTATGAGAGTTATGGCAAATGCCTTCTTATGGGCAACCGCAGGATTTATCTGATCAACCGTAGTATCATCTTCTACTCTACACCAAGCCTAGCCGAGTCTCCTCACCAGCTTGGAGAGCTTGAAGTCAAGTGCCTTCAAGTCCGCCCGCATGGCCACCTCTTAGGGTTTAGGGTATAGGGTTTCGGTAAGGGGGAAGGGGGTGCTGGACTATACTTCCTTAAATAGGCCTTAAAAGTCCTTTTTTGGGAATTAAGGCCCCCTACCCCAAGGGTCCTTATGACCACCTCTCCGTCGCTTGCCAACTTCTGCTTTGTCTGAGGGTTTAGGATAGGGTCCCAATTAGGAGAGGGATATCTCATATAAACCCCCTTAAAATGAAGCCCCCAATAAGGCATGGATATTGTGCAAAATGTTATGCTTATGTGCATTTCGGGTCCCGAATAGGAGTTTAGGACCCGGGCATGGGACCTTCTTGCTTAAGGCTGGGTTTAGGGTTTAGGGTTTAGTCTGCGACTGGACATTGCAATTGTACTCAAAGCGATTTCTACCTTCGTCTCGGCACTAGTTTCAGGTGCGAAATGAAAGCGGCATTGAAAGCTTCATCTGCTTGAAGAAGTTGCTTGAAACAAGCTTTGCTTGGGGGTTCAGATTTTCCGCGGCCCCCGACATCTTGCATTGTTCCTGACATTACCTTCGATCCGCGCGAAGATGTATTCCGCTTTAGGGTTTAGGGTTTAGGGTTTCGGGCTTAGGGTTTAGGGTTTAGGGTTTAGGGCTTAGGGACCGGATTCCGGCGCACCACCAAAGCCTCAAAGCCTCAATAACGAGTAAAAGCTTCCGTGGCCCGAAGACTCAAGACGAATGTAGGGGCCTTGAGAATTGCTAGGCTGTTCACTAACCCACTGGGAAAAGTGTAGACTTTTTTAGGCTTAGTTTATAACAGGAACCCAGAAACCTGAAAGTAAAAACGTGTACCACTGAACAGCTTGGATTAGAATGGGGTTTGGGGGCCATTGTACTGTACTATATAACTATAATAAGGAATGCCCAAAATAGTATGGGTAATCATTGAGGCCCCTCTAGAGCTTTGCATAGGACCCCTATAGATCCCTTAAAGGAACCCCTTGTAGTAACCTTATAGAACCCTTAAAGCTAAGCTACCTACGCAGCTACGGAGCCTTTGCACAGCCCGCCTGATCAATGGCTCGCGCTTGACCTTTGCAGCGCATGATGCCTTCAATGAACTCCTCCAAGGTGACCTGCAAAATTGTTCAGGGATTTAGGGGTTTAGGGGTTAATGGGGGTTTAGGGTTTAGGGTTTAAGGAACATCGTGATGACTCGCACTCAAACTCCCAATGAACATTCGAGAGGCGTTTAGGGGGCGGTCCGTTGCAGGGTTCATAGACGGGGGTTACTCAGGGCTTGCGGTGTAGGCGTGGGAGGGTTTCGACACTCGCACTCACACAAGGCAGGCAAGGCTCCTCACAGTGTGAGGGTTTAGGGCCGTGCAGCCGACGACCGCAAACGGCCAGCAAGTTTTGCAGATTAGTCCCTTGCATAGCGGGCCTCAAGGCATTCGAGATGTTCAAGAGCATGCTGCATCAACGACTCGAAGATATCGCGGAGCTTGTAAAGCTGCGATCTAAACTAAGACCATTAGGCCTCTGAAGTACTGCAGGCAACTCGCTCATCACATTGAGTCATGACAGCTCGCAGTTCTTGCTGTGATTCTGGGGCTATGGTTTCAAGTTTCAGGAGTTGATGTAAAAACCCTGAACTCCGAACCTTAATCATTAATGAATTGCTAATGGGTATCAGCACCTGCCTCGCCATCTCCGTTGTCTAGCCTGGGCTGTTCTTGCTGGACCTTGAAAATTTAGAGTTGTTGCTCTTATGCATGTGGGGTTCAGGGCTTAAAGCTTAGGATAAGAACATGCTACAGAAAGTCGAAATATCAAGATTGAAAACTATGTTCTAGAACGGCCTAGGAACAGATGGAAGAGCGCCGCACTCTCATAGATGTCGACATCCAGCGTTTGGAAGTAAGCCTCCAGGATTTTGGGTTTAGGGTTCATGATAGGGCGATAGGGTTACCTTGGCTTTGGGTCTCACCAAAACAGGAAGACGTGGCATTTTTGCTTGGCTGGGCCATGAGCATCCTTCCGAGACTGACTGACAGGCTTCTTCGAACTTCCTGATTTTTCAACGGGATGGACAGCCAGCAGTAGCTGAAAGCGCAACTGCTACGCATGGAAACCTGGAGCAGCCGTCACTATGAGTTTGGCACTGCGATATACTCGAGCGGCTGGTACTTCCAAATTTCGATAACCCTGCATCAATTTACAGACCGCAAAATATCGTACTACCCCCAGACTACGCCTGATTTTCGGAAACTCCGACATGTATCCAGCTGGACAGCTGAGCAACCGCACCAACACAGGCTCGCATTCGGCATGAAAAGACACATCAATGTGGGAGTTTCCGAAAATCAAATGAGGATCCTACTATTTAGGGTACAATATTCGGGTCCCCTATTTTTCGAAACTCCCATGTTGAACACCCTGAAACACTGCAAAACAGTCCAAAGTCCCGTCCATGCTGCCTGCAGTTCGAAACGACAAGCACCAAAAAATCACAAGTCGGATAGCATCTCGGTTTAGGGTGTGCACCGCAGTCCAAAGTCATCGATCAACTGCACGAAGCAGCTAAGTTGAAGTGGTAAGGCGGCACAGCTGCACCAGCAGCGTCAGTCCGTACGTCCCAAGCCCTGCAACCTGAAACTTTCCGGAAGCTTCTCAACTTCAAACTTTACTAACTTGCAAACCAGCCTTGGCCACTGGGTTCGCCAGAATGTGCGTCAGCCGTTCTTCGGTGATCATGCCTCGTCTGCTATGCTTTCTTTCGGGATAACAGTTGAAGGTTTTCGTTTTTAGTGCACTGGCCTTTCTCCGCGGCAGCAGAAGTAGGTCTACCCCATTCAGGGCATGCACTAAAAACTGCCTCCCTCATTGCTTGACCTCTTGGATGTGCATACACATATGTGCTGCATGTGAAATGAATATACACACATTCAGAACGCATTCAAAGGCCGGAGCGTGCAAGCGGGTGCGGGCGTACCCTTTTCTACGCTTTCATGCACATGTATGCCAAGTGTATGCCTATGCACTTGTCCGCTGGCTCAGGTTCAAGTGCATCTGGCCAGCAGGCCTGTCGAAATGCCTGCCGGCATCCATACGAAATGGACCCCGGCCTGCCTGCCAGCAACTCGAGGTACAGGTGTATGCAGGCACATATTACATACGTGTTTACATGCACATACATTGCCAAATGTGCATGTGTGTGTATATGTATGCATGAATGAATGAATGCATGTATGTATGCCGACGCATCTACGGACAGACAGGCGTGAACGGAATCATCTCACTCGCTCGCCAAGATGCCATCCCCAGCGTCATCCATGGCATGGAAGACTTGCTCCAGCTTCTCCACATACTCCGCCTGAGACTGAAGATGTCGGTTCAGGGCATATGAGCTTGTACTGCTGCAAGAGAACGGGAGCATACGAGAGCACAACCCCAAGCTAAGTCCTAAAGCACATTATGGCCCTTGTCATTCTACAAGCCGCGGCATCAACACAAAAGGCACACAACCAAAAACGACAACAACGGGAGCAACAACGACAATGCAGCAGCAGGTTCGAAAAGCAGCAACAGAAGCAGAAACAAAAGAAGTAGTAGCAGCAGGAGTAGTAGTAGTAGCAGCAGGAGTAGTAGTAGTAGTAGTAGTAGTAGTAGTAGTAGTAGTAGTAGTAGTGGTGGTAGTAGTAGTAGTAGTAGTGTTAGTAGTAGCACAGTGCTTGTACCAGTCGCAGCGGCAGTGGCAGCAGCAGTAGTCGCAGCAGTAGTAGCAGCAGCAGGTGATTAAGACGACTACAACTCCAACTACAACTACAACTACAACAACAACTACTACTACCACCACCACCACCACCACCACCACCACCACCACCACCACCACCACCACTGCCACTACCACCACCACTACCACTACCGCTACCGCTACCACTACAACTGGCACGACGACTACGAAATACTACTAGAAGCATCATCATAAGGACGGGGAGAGGGGTAAGGGGGCCTTAATACCCATACTGTTGACTTAATGGCCTATTTAAGGAAGTATAGTCCCCTACCCCCCTCCCCCCTACCCCCCTAAGGGTCCCTATAGCATCAAGACGTCAGGCTCCCAGCACAGTGCGCTGGGCTCTGGGTCTTCCGCAGTCGCTCGCCGACAGAGGTTTAGGGTTTACGCTCTCGCAACTCGGGCAATCCAGACGAGGTTCTTGGTCGGCAACTGAACATCTACAGGACACATCTACAGGTTTAGGGTTTAGGGTTTCAGGGTTTAGGGCTTTAAGGGTTTAGGGTTAGGGTTTAGGGTTTCAGGGTTTAGGGCTTTAAGGGTTTAGGGTTAGGGTTTTAGGGTTTAGAGCTTTAAGGGTTTAGGGCCTTTAGGGCCGCAACCTTCTTCCGCAGTCGCTCCACGACAAGATGTTCTGCATCATTGTTGGCGGCATCTAAAGTGTCCTGCGAAGGAACGCGGGCTACAGAAACTGGAAGTGACTTCTGCGTGCGGCCTCATCTACAGGGGCTTTGCGCCGAGGGGAGTTCAGGAGTCACCTTGTCCTAACGAAAAGTGAGCAAGCGTTAGCGTGATGAGTGCGTCCGTACTTGGCCTCAAGCAATCCGGCCAACAAACCATTGGAAAGCCCTTGAGAAACTATATTCTCGACCTCAGGCAGGATCTTACGCAGCTTAAGTCGTCGATACAATCTCCTCGGACTACCCTTAGCGTCTCTGGCGTGCTTGAGCATGGTGCGGCTCCTTTAAGAAAATTGCAGATATCACGCGTATAACTGCGAAGACAATGATCGTGATGTACCTGCTCGAGCAAGCGGGGAACCCCAAGCCGTAAACCCTAAAACCCAAGCCCTAAACCATGCATACTCCCAGCTCTTCTACCCCGCTAGAGACCTCCCGAGCCTAGTGGTAAAAGCGTCTTTCAACACTTCATTGGCGAGTGGCTTAGCAACACATATATGTATAGGTCATATGAGTATATACTGCAAACTGTAAACAGTATAGAACATATATATATATATGGGTGGTTGTCAAAATTATGGTCCCTTTTTGGGTACGGCGCCTCATATTTAGGCTACCCAAAACGGGACCATAATTTTGACAACCAGCCATATATAGATATCAACAGACCAAAAAAACAGACAGACAGAGAGATAGATAGATGGATAGATAGGCAGATAGCAGATGGAGACAGAGAGAGAGAGAGAGATAGAGAGAGAGAGAGAGACAGAGAGAGAAAGAGAAAGAGAAAGAGAAAGAGAAAGAGAGAGAGAGAGACAAAGAGAAAGAGAGAGAGAGAGACAAAGAGAGAGA